GTGTGTGCAGCACAATGCAAAAACATACCGGGTCTATTTTCAGCACGAAACAATCATGTTTTATTGTTTTTTTTCTTGGAGTTCATTTGATTGGTGTCGGCTTACTGGTTGGTTTATCTGCTCATCTTGATAAAATGATAACACATTTTTGTGTTCCTTTAGTCATATAGCTTTTTATTTCCATTTTTTTAGCTATTGTTTTTCTCTCCTTGGTTGAGCCGCCTCTTGAACTCTCCCGACATATTTTTATTACATTTTTATTTTTTGGATTCCATGCAGTTTGGTGTGCAATTATAAAAAAAAAAAAAATCATGAATTCATAATGAGTATGTTATGCGGCATGCATTTTACCGAAAGTAATATGTGGGTATGACCTAAATTCTTCCATCCATACATGTTTCCTCTCCTCATACTGTAAATCACATCATCTACGTATAATCCTTTATGTGAACGCTCTTCTCAATTCTTTAAGACTTGGCTGCTGAGATGTTCGTCTCTCTTTCAGTCTCCGCTCATTTCTAATGGATGCTCAGAGAGTCAAACGTGAGTCAATAATTCATCGAGTATTCATATGGAGTTTCATGCCTGAATTAAACAGAGAGTGTTAAAAAAACGCTGGCCTGATTCTGTTCAAGGCTTCGGCTCCACACGAGAAAGAAAGAAAAAAATCTTGTTGTGGAATCTTTGGAAAGAGAGAAAGGCTCGGAGCTAAAGCGAAAAAGAGCCCAACTTGGCTCGGGGTTTGACATTCATACAAACAGAGCCTGCTTGTTCTGTTGTGTGCTGGTACCAGACTGGCAAAAAAGAGTCAGGATATCAGGAAACGGAGGGAAGAGCGGGCCAAGACTCTTTTCTACTTGTCTTGGATCTGCTTGTTTGCTTGTCTGACTTCACGTCTATGTGTCTGCTTGAACATGTGGTGCTGTCTGTGTTTATTTTATCTAGAGCTGACTGATGTAGGATTTCTCAGAGCATTACCAACAGTGGTTTTAGAGGGGGAAAAACATCACTGATAACAAATATGCTGACACATGCAGGGAATTTTTGAGCTTGAAAGAAAATAGACCTTTTATATGTCGACTGTGCTCCGATATGACAGAAAAGTTTAGGGGTCCTAATAAGGATCCCGTGAGATTTGCCTAAAACATCCATCTTGGTGCAATCGAATGCTGTTCTTGAACCGTTTGGACTACAAGCACAAATAATGTCTCTTTTGAAAGCTAACGATCTGCAGTTTCAGAATACGCTGAAGTACTTCCAAAATCAGTAAAACTTGTGTACTACTGTTGAAAAAAGGCAGGGCTTCAACACAAACTATTTATGGTTAGAAACGCGCTTACTGCTTTCAGGATGATAGTTATTGGTTGAAGCAGCATATCCACATGTTCAGAATTTCATTGGCTGCAAGAAACGTCAGTGATGGGCAATGTCCAGAGCAATTGGCCGGGTATAGATACATCAGAACAGGAGCAGGTATCGTCTATCAACTCAGGCTCTTGAGGGTTATTAAAGGGTGGGAACAGTGAATGGAAGGTCGTTATTGGCCAAATGAGGTGTTAATTTAAAGGTGAGAGCTTGGCGCTATTTTGATTTATTTCAAGCGAAAAAATTACTACAGTGGGAAATCGGGAACAGAGGGCAAATTTGAAGCAACTATTCAGACCAAAATCAGATTTGTATCAGGCTGTTAGCATGTTTAATTCTGCTCTAAAATGGTCACATTAACATGGGGTGTGTATGTGAATTCTGGAGCTTTTGCAGCCTGCCTCAAGTGGACACTTGAGGAACTGCATTTATTGTGCATCTTTTGCATTGGCTTCACTTTTTCAACACCAGAGGTTGCCGCTTGATTTGAAGGCATTCAAGCACAGCAGCTACAAGGTTGGCTGGCACTCTGCGGTCCCATTTGCACCGTCTCATTTCATATTCTTGAATGTCGACTGTGTGGAGTAAGCACAGTGGCAGCTGTACAGCAGAGCATGCACACAGAGGGACGTCCGTCCCGAGTAGCAGATATAACCGTCATCATTTCTTATTCATCGGAGCACTGCTGGGGTCCCTCAGCTGCCCGAGCGCTGCACACTTTAATGCACATGGTGTCGTTTCTGATTAAAACACCAACATGAAAAAGATGTCAACAGAAATTTCATCAGCTAGAAGTTTTTAATACCAGCGCTCACCAGGCTCTACTTTCTGTGTTACGGTCAAACTATGGCAAATAATATCTGTGTGAAATCTTTCATCTCGAGGGATTCCCTTTTACAACTTCAGTCGAACACTGCTCACACATCCCCTCCCTCCTCATGTCGTTGTTACATGAACGTCACATAGAAACCCTTTGAGAGACCATCACATTCATGTCCAGTCACAGTCTTGGCTCTAATAGACTGAAGGGGGGAAGAAGGGGGCTGAAAACCCAGCTGAGCTATCAGGGTCGGGGGCCAGCTGGTCCCAGGCCAGACCGAGTTCTCTTACAGTCTCTAACGTGTGACATATTGAACCTGACAAACAGAGAATCTGTCAGTAGGACAGAAACCCTGACAGACTAATGGAGTGCTGAAGACGAGGACTGGGAAGCATTGGAAGGAGAAAAAGAAGCATGCAGTCTTAAAAGCTGGCAAAGCTCTGATATGAAAACAAAGAAGCAGCAGAACAAAAGGAAAGTTCTGCCAACATAACGCATTCCAGCAAAACATTTTAATCTGCAGCCTCGGAAAAAATGACCATCCTGCAGAGTCGACACTTTTCTAAGAGTGTAATACTCACGTGACTGCAGATTCCAACGTTTCCTAGGCTTTTATTTTGAAATTTTGTCCTGTCTTAAACTGAGATTACTTTTTAAAATTCAATCCTGCTTTTATTTTGAATTAAAAAAAAAAAAGGAAACGGATCAAAGGAACGATAAAAAAGTAAAATGTCTGACGTCATTAGGTGGATATTACTTTTGACTCGTCAGCTGAGCTGTCAGAGATTTATTTTTAAGTGAAATGAGACGTTCAAAGACATATCATAGTTACACAGTGTGACTACAGGGAGACACTGAGGAGGCTTATCATTGGTTCATCAAAAAGGGAAAAAATAGCATGCGATAAAAAAACATTAATGCATTCATTTCAGACCTAAATTAATCTTGAATAACTAGTCAATGTTGAGAGCTTTAATTAACATATACAAGAATTCACCTTTATGCTAATATTGGAGCCTGTAACTTACAGTTTGGAGCACTTTATCGTTTCAGTTTGTAACGTGCCGTTCCGTATTGTTGATTGCTATTTCTTTTTTTTTTTTTTTTTTTTCTGAAAACCACAGTGGAGGCAGCTAAGTGTGTGCAGCACTAAAGTCCTAAACATATTTCCTATAAAGTCAATAAAGTGTTTCCTATTATCGTATGGTATGGCTATCGCATCGCACCTGACATGAACAACATAGCTAGGTAATAACTATCTGCTGTTAACAACACTGTTTTTGATGCATACATGGTCAATGGGCCACAACAACACCTGTCAACAAACTTTAGAATTGATGGATAAGAGTCAAACAAATGCTGACCGTCAAAGAAGAATAGTTTCTAAACAGACATGATAAGAAATGCTGACTGTCCTTCTCTCTTTGGTCCCGCTGTCCTTCATGTCTTTAATGTGTTGCCACACTGAGGTGCTGCTGTGAGTTTATCCACCAAGGACTGTCTCCACCCCCCACAAACACAGGTCACACTATTGTATACATACTGCACGCTCGCCTGGCCATATGTTAACACACTGTGACACGTCAAGGTTACTACTGTCTAACAGCTAAAGCTAACCCACGGCTGGCTGAGCGACTCGACCATTAGCCCTCCGTTTGTGACGCTGACCTCTCTCACTCTCTCTCTGCCTATAGACTCTGTGTGTGTGTGTGTGTGTGTGTGTGTGTGTGTGTGTGTGTGTGTGTGTGTGTGTGTGTGTGTGTGTGTGTGTGTGTGTAGTGAGTGACCTGCAGGGAGCAGCTGATTTGCAACGACGCGCCTTTGTGTTGAGGCTTCAGGAAGGAATGCGATCGACACACATGCTCTGCACATTACAGCATCATTAAGCACACAACGGGTTCAGGCTAATAGGCTTCAAAGGGCCTCAGAGGGACAGGAAGGAAGGGGGGGGGGGTCAGGAACCTTAAAGGCGTAGGGGGGGCAAACGATACTATCAAAAGCATTAACTCTGTTAAACGGCAAATTAAGTGAAGGTACAGTAAGAGAGCTGGGAATGTTTTTCAAGGTTTTAAATGTCAGGAATTTTAGATTGGTCAATCACCTCTCAACATGTTGAAACAGCATCAGATAAAAGTAAAGCTGGATACCTGGAAGGGCCGCTACGGTCAATAATACCGTTTTGACTGTTGGGAGTATGGTTTCCTATTGGACGTAGGCGTTTTTCATGCGTATGTTCCCCGGGCAACTTGTGTTTTAGACGTCTGAAGCATCTTTTCTGTTTTGCAGGACTCTGCAGTAGGTAACAAGAATACTTTGGTCCTAAAAGCCGAGAGATTATCAGCATGTCACTTGATATGATTTTTTTCTTCCTCTTCCTCTGTAGTCGGGTCGTGGTGGCAGCAATCTAAACCAATCAACCCCGACATCCCTCTCACCAGCAACATTTTCCAGCTCTACTATATTATGAAAAATGTAGGCTGTTTTGTGCACATGACATTTCCAAGGATGCAAAGTGGAAACAAAACGACGGCAAGTTTGTTTCTTTTTTTTTCCATTTCCCCCCCCTAAGTGACCGTCTAAGACGTGCTACAGCTCTGACTGACCGGTACAGGGCTGAGAGTTACACAGCGACTGACAGACAGGCGTAATGATGTGTGAAAGAAGAACACAGCTCAGCTTGACCTTCTGCTCGTTCTCAAGAGAATAAAAGACCCTTGTGAGGGCCTTTTAAATGCCGTGTTGTGATGATACCAAAGTGCTGCTCGGTCTCACTCTGCTGTCTGTGGAGCACGTGGGGACAGTCTCAAACACTCACCATGTGGTAGTTGATGATTTCCTGGAGGCTTTCACCGCACTTTTCCAGGCACTCCTGCAAAGAAAAAGAAAGAAAAAAGCACATCATAACCCCCATCTTTTCCTGGGTAATATAAAAAAAAAATCCCCAAACTGCCGCTGCTGTATTTGCATTAGAGAAATGCCTATAAAGGTTTTTTTTTAAACTAAAACCACATTTATTTGATTTCTTAACGCAGGAGAATAAAAAGTTCCATGATGGTTGAATGAAGTCAAAGCTGGTTCATGTCACCGAGGTGCTCCAGTGGATTTTTTCCCCCTGAACTTTGTATGGGAAAAGGAACTTTAATTGAACAGCTAATCCTATTCTTTTTTTTTTTTTTTTCTTACAATGGAAAGTACAAAAAATGAACAAGACTTTAATAAGAAACACACAATTAGTCATACAGCCAGAGCCAAGAAGGCTTTTAATAGTACTTAATGTCAGCAGCAGTGAAAACAGTCAGAGACGCCGGTGCTGCATGACGAGCCAGAAGTAAGTTTCCAGACGGGATCTGATCCTCATCTACCGACATGTTAGTCACCAGATTTACTCACAGGCAGGAAAGAACACATGTCCACCAGCCCACAGTCATACTTCAGTCACTAAATGACAGAAGAAATTCAAAATCCAACGCAAGACAAAGGCTTTAAAATGAGGCCTGATGAAAACATTTGGTCCTCACCGAGATCATCTCGTCCTTCTTGCACTGCTGAGACAGATCCCGAATGCCGTTGACGAACAGCTTGTTGGCGCTGACGTACGCCTTCCCTGCTTCAATCATCCCGCTGCATAGCTTCACCAGCTGAAGAGGAGAGAGAGAGAGGGAGATAAATGATGGTTTCACTTTCACCTCACATTACATTAATGTCAGGGAAGCTGTTATTATTCAATGAAGCTCTGTTTTCTTCTTCACAGACTTTAATTAAAGGGTTTGGATTGTGCTGCGTGTCAGAATTTAGAGCGTCTAAATATGTGATAATGACTCGGATTAATCGCAATGTTTCACATGGCAACTTTCCGATTGCAAAAGTAGTAAAAGGTGCCTTTTAATGAAGTGTAGAAACAGGAGAATCCATGAAAACATCAATTAATGAGAATCAAACTGAAATAATGAAAATTGTAACGTCAAAAATGTTAGAAAACAAAGGAAAGGACAGGTCAAAAATATTCTTAATATTAATTCAAAAAGTGGTCACAGATTTTGTTTCTCTCATAGTCTTGGTTTGGGATTTGTGAGAGAAAAGCCAGAGCTCCTGATTTTCTCATGCGTGACTCTGTGAAAACTGTTTGTGATCCTCAAGTCAGGAAGAATTATAAAACAGTCCCAAAGCCCAACCATGATTCATCTCAAAAACAAGTCTGATAACTTTAAAATCAATCGTGAAGGACGGTGAATGGGGGCGGCTACGGCTCTTATTCCCCAGGACGGGGGTTTGATCCCCAGCTCCTGCAGCAACATGTCCCATGTGTCCTTTGGCAAAACACACCCTAAACTGACACTTTACATATCAGACTCTGCCATCAGTGGGTGAATCTGTAGGTGTGACCTGCGATGTAAAAGCGCAATACAAGCTCAAGTCCATTAACCATTCACCATTTGAACATCAGTGTGTAGATTAACTTGGGCTCAAGTGCTCTTTTTTGCTGCTCTACTTAAAGTCAGTTTTAGAGCTCTAGATGGATGGATGGAGGTCAATGGATTGTTTCGGGAGACCAGATAAATCAGCCTTACAGTTTTTAATTTCACTTGAGATGAATGAATGAACACGTTTTATACGAGACAAAGCTGAGTGAAAACAGCTCAACGTGTGACTGAGAAACAATCTGCAAGAGCTTGAATGGAACATCGTCCCTAACTTCACATCACAAACTCAACCACACAACGCTCAAACTTCTGTTTCCAAAACAAAAACGCCACCTTCTGAATCACATAACCACATGAAGACTGAGATGTATGTCTCACAGCTGCATGTTTGTTGTCAACTTATCACCCGTGGTAACGGACAGAAGTAGCTGCATTCTCACGTGTGGCCCATATGTCAGCTCAACACACATTGGGAGAAGCTACAGAGGCTTAATGTCGTCCAGGACCAGGCTGATGATTCAGCGTGTCGCTACACTGTGAAGACATCCGCATGCGTTTATTCTCACTGTGATATCAGACACAAAGCCTGCATTGTTTATCTTCTACTTTTATGGCAGGGTTGACTTTCTCTTTACGATCGATGGGAGGCTTTTAGCGTCTTCCCTGCTCCAGGGAGGTTCCACTGCCTCTCAACTGCTGACCTGGAACTTTGTTTTTGATCCTTTTTTTTTTTTTGAAGTTGTGAACATCTGAGTTTAAGCTCAGAAAACACAGAATAATGGAACATTGGTTTTTACTGATGTGATTGAATCTGAAAAGGTTCATTTTTGGATTTACCACTTTCACTTATTTTAAACTGCAGCGTTATTAAGACTAGAATATCTCCTGTAAAGTCCAGAATAAAGAATAAAATTGATCCCAGGACTCCAGATGTTGATTCTGACGCTGTAAAGTTAAAGTCGATCACTGGTCTTCATTGGTGATTGATATGCGAGACCAAAGCCTTGAAAGTATTGGAAGAAAGAAGCCTGATAATTGAATCTGAAATATTCCAATAAACAGTGAAACATGTTCCTTTTTAACTGGAGCATGAACTCAGTTGGGGGTTTCCAACACTGGATGGTGGTAAAAGTCAAAACCAGTCCTCCTGACTAATCCTGACTCTCTCCGACTCACACACAGTCACTCGGTGTCAAGAGGCAGCAGATGGAGCGGTGACATGAGCATTACAGGCCAAGCATCTGGATGCCTCATTACGAGGAAAACTGGAGGCTTTGAAAGCAGCCGTGATCCAGTCATGATGTTTTTTGTTTTTGTTTTTTTTTAGCGAGGCCAAAGCTTGCACCGCTGCCACGTCACGTTTTCAGCCAACCCGAGCTGAACTGTTGAACAGGCCCAGGAAACATCACTGATGGAGAGCCATCAAGACGAGGAGAGCAGCGTTAGCACTTTGAGTATTTTATGATGCTGGAAGAGAGCAGCTGAGGGAAAGAGGCGAGCTGTGTTTTAATGTCTGCTGAAAGAAGATAAACATACCAAGCATTACTCATTTGTTGAAGCAAATTCTGCTATGATACAGTATGCTAAAGTTAGCTTCCAAGCAGTGAAATAGAAGCTGAAATAAACTCCAATTCAAGAGCTGTTTGAGACCATTTCATACCTGGACAGAAGACGCCCAGAGTTGGCTGTGACCCTGTTATTGAGAGACATGCTTCTCACACACATAGGCCTGAATCACACATACACAAACTGGACCTGTGGACATGCATTAGTGGAGAGATGTCAGAGTGGGGATGCTGTGCAGGGAGCGCACCAGAGGGGTTTTGAGAGTTCGGTGCCTTGCACCTCGGCAGTACTCAGGAAGTGACCTGGCATCTCTCCAGCTACCAGACCAACGTCCATACTAAGGTCCACATCTGGACTTGAGCCGGCGACCCTCCAGTTCCCAACCCAAGTCCCTACAGACTGAGCTACTGCCACCCATGGCCAACATCACTGATGAATCAAGATTACAAGGGACACACTCTATAAAGCCCTCCTCCCCACGTGCCCACTGTTCTCCAATTGGCCAGCTCCGTGTGCAGTCGCAATGAAATGTGAGTGAGTGAGCTTGGTGTTGTCCTGGAAAGAGCTGCCAAGGTGGACATGTCCTATAACTTTGATCCATTCTTTGCTCTCATACGTCGGCAGTCGGAAGTTCTCGTAATGTATCAAGTAGAGCAGCAGGAAAACCATGTCCAGGGATAACGCCACCAACTGTGAATCTTGTGTTTAAAAACCTTTGCTGAGATTTAGTATGGACACATCGTAACATTATATGTATGTATTTAACTATGGATCAGCGTCATAGATCTCCTTTGAGTTCAATTTAGTTTATTTAGAAATCTTCTTTTCAAAACAGAAGTTACAAACTCATTTACAAGAGAGAGAAAAAATAAACCCAGATATAAAGCTTCAGATCAAAAGAAAGCCAAATAAAGTCAAATAATTAGTTTTTTTTCAAAGACAGTCTTCAAACCTATTTGCAGTGGTTTGGTTTTTCTTTGACAGTCTGATTACAAGCGGAGATCAGTTCAGTGTAACATCTGCCGCCTGCCCTACAACTGAAGTGGTTTTTTGCTCCGCTTACTTCTGTACAACATATGGCATCCAAGCAAGAGGCAGAGACTCGGAGAGAGGATACAAACATCAGCTTTGACGTCCAGGATTAAGATGTATCAAGAAGAGCAACATGGAAGTTTAAACCACTTAGAGAGCGGTGTACAAATAAATGCATGTCACTCAAAAAATCTGAAAAAGGGAACAATAAATTGAAATTTTTGCAGTGATGGTATCATATGTCTTACCTTATCTAGTTTTGCTTCAATCTCCACAACGTCATTCTCCACCTCGTCGATATTTGCCCTGAAACACAAAAAGGAAAGTGAAGTTGTTAATGCATATGCTGCGACTTGTAACTGTACGACTGAAATGAATTCCATAAAGCTCATATATCTCGTTGGAAAACAGCCGTTTCACAATCTGTTGGGAGATTTCCCACGCTCTCAGAAAGCACCGGGACACTCCATAAATCTTTGTGTGACAGATTGGATTTCTGCAGAGCCAAAAACCCCGGACATGTTTCAGCAGCAACACGGCGGCGAGACATTTGGGGGTGTGCTTTTAAGTGAGCGAGACGCCGTCCAGGGAGCAGTTCAGCTCTGTCAAAACAAAGTGACAGACAGTCTCTGCACAGTGAGGAGAACATGGCCGTCTGACGCAACCCCAAACCCCAAAACTCCCCCCGACCAAATGTCAACACCAGCACCACTAATGCCACACCCGAACGCACCACTGAGTGAGGTATGATTTACACCCACAGGCTAACAGCTGCAGGATGGAGCCCCTGAAGACACCACTCCCAAGACTGTTCCATTTAGAGTGAAACCCTATTTGCACATCACGGGCCATCAGATTACAACAACCACTAAGAAGAAATGAAATGCTGTCACGCAAACCAAATGCAGACATGATCGAGGACAGGTCGGACCACCTTTTTTTTTTGAGTGGAAACCCTAATGCATTCTCCCTGACAACCGTCGAGCCATAACCACCCCTAAGCTGCTCATGCTGAACAACATGAATTTCTGATATCTTCATGTGTTCAGACCACTTTTTCAAACAACTTGTAAACAGGGACTATGTGAATTTATAACAGGTGGATATGTTCTAATCTATAGCCTATGCCATGATCTGTTTCCCGCTGCACAGTGGGATCCCTACTTTAATTGGAGTATAAATCTGGTCTATAAACAGGCGCTTCATTTAATCACAGCTCTGCAGCCCTCAAGCTGGATTCCCATTTTTAGCCACAGTAGCATCGTGGCTCTAGGGATGGAAATGTCGGTCAATCTGTCACTTCATAGCTCTTCGTCTACACTGAAATATTGCAACAAATGTTTGATCAGTACCATGAAATTTCTTACTGGACTTAATGATCCCCAGAGGATGAACCTTAGTGCTTTAATAGTCATTTTAAGTCATTTTCTCATTGTCATGATGGAGGACAGGTTGTTCTTCTGGCAGCTCTGGTCATTTCTAGCCTTTCTTTTCATATCAAGGAGAGAGTGCTAAAAACAAACACAGCAGCTCCGTGATGAGAGTATCTGTGGCATATTTCGGCCACGGCTGGCTGGGTATAAAACTTGTATCTCCGTCTCATCTTCTCTCTCTCTGGGGTGGATTAGCTTGCTTGGCCCTGAGTGCCCGGGGACGAAAGATGGCACCTCCTCCTCTCCTCCCCCACAGCTTTTTTTTCCTCTCACCATCTCCTCTTGCTCATGATTTGAGGAAGTATGGCGGAGAAGGGTAAAGTCTCCTGGGAGGAAATATCTGTCAGGAAGCTACAAGTCCGATGCAAAATTAAAAACAAAGCTGAAATAATCAATAGCATATTATTTCACATGCGGACGCGTGTTATCGTAACCTCAGCTGATCTCCTGCCGAACGGCCTTCAGCCAACCACACCCCGGGATAATCTCTCTGTGAGCAAAGCTGTTTTCACTGCTGATGTCATTCCTGAAACTGCCATGCAGAGCTTAGCCGGCTCTCGCTTTTCAGGAGGCTTGATCTCCTCACGCCTCGCAGACACAGCCGACTGATCATGAAACATTACATTTTATTTCAAATGTTTTACGGATTCCAAACATGGTTCATAAATGACCTCTTTAGAAGCCTTCAGATGCACAGAAAGATGTCAGCACAACACCAAGCAGCTTTTGTCACATAATGAAGGTTTCTATGTGACAACATCAATTATGCATTTTGACAAAATCAATTGTATTGATTTCAAAGAAAAATCCCTTTTAAATTAGCTATTGGTGTCATTTGTCCAATGCGCTATAGTAGTTTCCAAAGCATATGTCCATACTGTTTAGAGTTAATGCGTCATATCTTCCAGCTGTCACTTAAACTAAAGTTGGCTTGAGACTTCAGTTATGCTGTGAATACCTACTACATCACAGAATAAATTAAGTTGTCTTGATTTTTTTGTATTATGTTTAGTCATGAAGAGGCTTCCTGGTAAGTTGTTAAACTCAACAACAAACACAAAGAAATATCTAAATCTCAGCGGTGGTCGCTAAAAAAGGAGAACAGTTGGGATGCAGCTGGGTTGCAGCCACATTTCTCTGCATGCATCTTTTTTCTTCACATTACATTTCTTCTATCGTTGTTAGGCCCTTTGGAGATATACGAGGAAAAATCTAAGTTTAACTGCTCAGAGTTCATTGACAACCTGTTACAGGAGAAGGAATAGAACAGCTATAAAAAAAAAAAAAAGTCGTAAGATTATAGAAAAAGAAATATTGAAATTTAAGTTGTGTTGGTCTAAAAAAAGAGAACAGCAGGGTTTGGTCCTGAATTTCCTCCACAGGCTCCACTGTGTGAATCTGAAGCAGCGCTGCTCCTCAGAGTGACAGCTCGGCCAGCTGCTCCAGATGTGCACTAGCCCGGCCTCTTGGGACAGCTGCTCCCCTCTGAAGCCCCCTCCGGGCTGTAACCCCCGTCCCAACCCCCGTCTCACTGCACATGACTCCCATAATGGATGCACATGTTGCCCAGGGCCTGTCGCCACGGCAACCACCTCCTAAGTGGGCCGCAGAGGTCCCCAACCCCCCCTGACGTTACTCAGGAGTTGACCCTTATTCAGGCCACGGGGGGACCCGAGAGGCTGAGTGGATAATAATAAAAATGACTCACAACAAGGCTGCTGTGACAAGAGATGACCACTGAGATCATTCAAAGCTCATCACGAGATCATTAAACTGCAGTTAGAGTGAGTTCAGCTGTCAGCTGGGAACAAAGACACTCACTTTTATCGTCTGACTTTTCCTAACAGTCGCTTTGTTGTGATGTTTTACCATGTTGCATTTCTGACGATGTAGGGGATTTACTGCTGTATGGACCCTATTTATCAGTTTATTTACTATTTTGTCTTGTCTTTAACAGTAAAGCACCTTGTAACATGTTTTTGAAAAGTGCTATATAAATATGGTTGTATTATTTTATTGATCAAATATATATGAAGTCAATTCAATTCCAAATCATTCAATTTTCCAATTAAAAGAACTTTAGAGACATTTAAACAGACGAATATTGTCAAAGCACTGAAAGTGAAAAACATGAAAAGTAACAGAACAATTAAAACAATGTCTATACAGCTAGGAGTCTGTGTGTGTGTGTGTGTGTGTGTGTGTGTGTGTGTGTGTGTTAATGTTTGGTGTGTGTGTGTGTGTGTGTGTGTGTTCATGTTTGGTGTGTGTGTATGTGTGTGTGTGTGTGTGTGTGTGTGTGTGTGTGTGTGTGTGTGTGTGTGAGTGAGTGAGTGTGTGTGTTCATGTTTGGTGTGTGTGTGTGTGTGTGTGTGTGTGTGTGTTTTTTCAAAGTTCCTCTGGCTATCCTCAGGTCATTACAATTTAGCTGTTTTTCTTGTTTTTCTATGGTTTGTTACGTTGATTAAACTCAGGTTCTGTCAATCAAACATTCCCTTCTTGAATCCTGGTATTTAGGGCACACTGTGAGGAAATGTAAAGCTTGTGTGTTACAGTGAGAGCAGAATCTATGATTGGTTTAAACTGCTTAGTAACAACACAATACGTTTATAGCGTCTGGGCAAACTGACGTTGCACACCCCTGTTTGTTTGCAGGATTAGTCTGGGATCATTTATCTGACTTAGAACAGAGCAGTTAAGCAGTGGTGTAAAAAAAAAACAAAAAAAAAACACAATAAACACAGATTGTGCTGAGTTAGCTGCAGCTCTGGTGGTTTCTGGCTGGTGACATGCTGACGAGGCGTCCTGAACAACGGCTGAGAAGATGCTTGGTAGCCCAAAGTCACAAAACACCTCTGATTTTCTTTACGTCATATGAAGCCACACAGATTAACGTGTTTATATGAAGGTAGGTAGGCACCCCAAAGTGTGTTAAAGTGTAGAATAATGATCCTGAAAATGGCTTGAAGAGGTTCTACAAGCATCACCTCAGCTAAAATGTTTCCCTCAGACCATTAAGCACCACTGGGAGAAAATTTCAGATCCTTTCTACTCAGATGCACAGAATGTAATTTTCTCTAACAGGGCTATTTAAAAAAAAACAATAACAAAAAAAGTAGTTTGATTATGTTGAAGTAGTGCAAACACTGGGAGGTTGTCGACACTTAATTGTGAAAATGTCACATTCATACCTTTGAGTACGAGTGAACACACCATTTTGGGAAAGGGGAGATTAAAGAGTTCAAATGTTACTTCGGCATAAGCCGATAACTGCACTGGATGGCCTATCAGTTATGTTGTGCGCCCCATGTGCAGAGGCTATCGTCATAGCTGCAGCAGCCATTGGTTCTAGCCAGACCTCGGCCCTTCCCTGCATGTCATCCTCTGCTCTCTCCTCTTTGTTTCCTCTTTCTCTTCAGCTGTCCTATCCAATAAAGGCAAAAGTGGCCCAAAAATATAACTTAAAAAAAGCACATATCATCAGCATAGAATCAAAAGTAACCAACGTCAGTTACCGGTATGTGTTATGTGTAGAGAGATTTCTGCTGTTGAAGTTGGCTTCAGCTCCAGCTTAAAAAAAGGTTAATACCATTTGATGTACAGTATTTTCTAAAGCTCATCAAATTAATGCTTTTTTCACAATTTTTTATCCATAAAGCATCAATCAGTAACATTTGGCCCAGCTGAGTAATAACTGGCTCTTCATTTGGTACCATTTTGGCTTTATTAAATCACCCGTATTTAGACATTTTCTGACCTATGATTAATATGTGTGCATGTATTTTACTGAAACGATTCATTGTAATTATACTTAACTGTATAATCCCAGAATAGAATCCCAGAATAACACTATTGTACCTACCTTTTGCATAA